TGAGTTATAAAAGAAGGTCAAGGTTTATTACTTCATATACTGAGTACAATAATACAAATTTCATATAAAAATATGAAAAGATTGGGTACATGATAAAACTTTGCTCTATTAGCTACTTAAGGGAAGAAGAGATTTGGTAAATGCATGTTTTAACGCCTTTAGTTTTTAATACCAGGTATTTCATAAGTTCGAAATCAGAGTTATTGCATATTCTCTCATAGAATGGTATTCTTAAAATGATTTTACTTAAAATAATGTAAAACCTAAGCAAAAACGATGTATTTTTTTGTTTTTAAAGTAATGTTGTTTCCTATGACTTTTGCAGGCGGCCATGCTGTTCAGTTCCGGAGTGTTCTGGATGGGCTTGTTCTTCATCCCTGTGGCATCTCTGCTTCTCGACGTGGTATATAAAGTGTAAGTATAACACCTGGTCATATACACAGAAACATAGGTGCATGTTACTCCTCAGATTTCTCTAGTTGTAACATCAACCCAAGCAGGGAGAGTTTGCAGGATAAGAACTAGTAAAATTAATTAATTTTAAATAAAGAAGAAAAAGGTAGGAACTAGATTCAGGAGCTAGAAAACTAAATTAGTTTAAAAAACCAAATGAGAAGTAAAGCAGGTAGTTTCAATGAACATCAGAGAAAAGTGCATTATATTGGAGAAAATTACATCAGAGAGTATGTTTTTTACAGATTAACCCCCAAACCCATACAAGGTAGAAGAAAAAATTGTACTACCTCCAAACACATTTTTCTAAATAGTTATGAGAAGAAAGGTTTTGCTCACCTGACTCTAAACGTATATAGAATACAGAATGAAAGAAATGAAATGTATCTCGAGGATTGTAAGTTTTAAAATGTTATCTCTTCCCACAATAAAAGATTTTATTGAAGTTAATTATGTGATGTTTATTTCATAACTATGAGAGTTTTAATATTATAAGCCTAAGCCATTTATTTTAAGACTATTTTATCTTAATGATCAAAATTACTGTAATTTTTTAGATTCTGTTAAAACTGCATGTACTCTGGTTACTTTGTACTTACCAACGGCAGGATAAGAAACCAGACATCACCTCGTTTTATAAAGTCGTTTCACGTAAGTATTTCTATGCAAATCTTTTTTTTCCTTTCCAGCATCAAGAGGACCGCTTTTAAAACATTAGTAGATGAAGTTCAGGAGCTAGAGGCAAAATCTCAAGACCCAGGAGCAGTTGTGCTTGGAAAAAGGTACGATACACACTAAATATATTCTTTTCCAAGTGAACTTTAAATTTATCCTTTACTAGTGGTTGGAAATAGGTGGTAAAACTTGCATTTATCAGCACGGAGCTGGCAGCATCACTGACGGATTTGGGAAGCAAATCAAATCTGTCACTTTCTAAGCTGTGTGTGGCCTTAGCCAAGGTGCTTAATGCTAAAGAGCCTCAGTTTCCTCATTGATAAAATGGGAGTGATAATACCTACCTCACAGTTAGTGTGAGAATTGAATAAAATATTATCAAGCACATAGCATAGTACCTGGTCCTTAAATGAGCATTCAATAAATGGTAGTTGCAAATATTAGTGTGTTATTAAACTGAAAGGGAAGAAAAAGGATGTTAGCTTGAAACAGTATCCATAATAAAATAGTGTATGCTCATAATCATTGTTTGACGTAGGACAAACTGCCCTCTAATTACATTTGTAGTTCAGTAATTATTAGGAACTGACCTAGATACATACCATATATGAAGTGAGTTCTGTGCCTAAGTTCTCTTCCTCACTACCACCACCCCTCCCAAGGAAAGCAACGTTAAAAAGCTAATTGAGTTCACTAAATTCAGAAAGCATTGTAAAAAGGAATTAAAACCAGTCGAAAGCAGTGTATGATAAAACACAATTATGAAGACAGTACCGGGAATTTGTTTTGGTTTTTTTTTTTTTCCTCTTTCCTCATACTAAAGTGAGCTAAAGTTTTGTCTACACCACAGGAAATGTCTAAGTCCTGGTATATGTCACCTTAATCCGATTGACAGTTTTTACCCAGTTTGACACACTGGAGTTACGTGTCGGACTGGGGACTCAGGCTGAGACCGTGGCCTCGGCTCTTACTCCCTCCCATCAGGCCGAGGGGGCACGTCACCCGCCAGCGTGTCCTCTCTTTTGGAAACGATAGCACCGACATCTGTTGAGCACTCACTACGCGCCAGGTGCTTCGTTTGCATTTTACGTGCTGTCTTGAATCCCTGGACCAACCTGTACAGACCCATCATCTCCATCGTTTCCAGATGAGGAAGCTGGGGCTTAGAGAGAGAAAGTCCCCAAGGTTCTA